AAAGTATGATCCAATTAACGCGAAGGAAACTTCCAACAGTTGCAAAACAAACGTTCTGCTGAACGCAGCCATTGTCTGCTGAGATAGGACCATTCTTCTAGATCTAAAAGTATGATCCAATCAGCGCGAAGGAAACTTCCAACAGTTGCAAAACAAACGTTCTGCTGAACGCAGCCATCGCTATCGCTATTCCCTCGCATTGTGTCTTGGGCTTTAACCGTTGAGGCCCAGAAGAATTGGGCGTATTCAGCAGAAAAGAGCGCTACTGGAGCGTTCGCTGTTATTGGTGTATTCTTTCAGATCATCCAATCAGAATTTTAGATCTAGAAGAATACACCAATAACAGCGAGCGCTCCAGTAGCACTCTTTTCTGCTGAATGCGCCCATAGTCTCTTTCCAATTTTAGAATTGAAAAGAGATGATAAACAAGTTGAATCTCGGTTAAGAGTTAACTGTGAGTTGTGGAACTGAGCCTTAACTGTTGAGCCAAGTGTGTGACAAAGAAGAAGACGTATTAGATTATACATCGTTGGAAAGGTGCTATTTCGTATAACATTTTGAAATAGATTGATCATAGATTTGAACAATACTGACGCATTCAATCAAATTTAAAAATGAGTGTACATCGGAAACATCTTCGACACATTTTACTTCTTTATTATAACAAAGGGAAGAGCGCTGGGAAAGCCACAGAAAAAATTTGTCGTGTTTATGGAGAGAATGTTATATCTAAACAAACAGCAAGGACTTGGTTTCACCGATTTGAAGATGGAAATTTCGATGTCAAAGATTCACTTCGTTCTGGTCGGCCTATTGTGAAAAATATCGATAAAATCTTGCAAAAAGTTGAAAAAGATCGTCATGTGAGTAGCAATGTTATAGCTAAGGAGCTTAAACATTGATCATAGAACCGTTTTGGCATACTTGCGTAAGATTGGATACTCAAAGAAATTCGATGTTTGGGTGCTAGATTTGACAGTAAAGAATTTAATGAATCGAATTTTCATTTGCGAATTGCTGCTGAAACGAAACAAAATTGAGCCTTTCTGAAAAGATTGATAACTGGCGATAAAAAATGGATAACATATAATATGCTCGGATTGATGTCAAAGATGATGCTGTGTGTCTGGTGGGACTGAAAAGGAGTCATCTATTATGAACTGCTGCCACCAGACAAAATGGTTGATTCTGATCTCTACTGTCAACAACTAATGCGATTAAAGCAATCCATCCAGGAAAAGCGGCCAGAATTGATCAATAGAAAAGACATTGTCTTCCATCATGACTACACTCAATGGCCATACATGTCTTCGATGACTCGACAAAAATTGAAAGAGCTTGGCTGGGAAGTTTTGATGCATCCACCATGTAGTCTTGACCTTGCACCATCCGATTACTATTTGTTTCAGTCTTTGCAAAATTTCCTTAATTTCGTAAAAGTAAATTTGACTTCAAAAAAGGTTTGCGAAAATTATATATCTCAGTTTTTTGCCAAGAGATCAGAGATATTCTACATCGAAGGAATAATGACTCTACCTGAAAAATGGCAAAAGGTCATCGATCAAAACGGCACATATTTGGATTGATAAAAAGTTCGTAAACAATTTAAAAAATACGTTTCAATTATGCTCCAACTTAAACATAAAAAGACTCCCTAACCCAATTGATAATTTAAAGCGATCTTAAAGTCATCTGTTTTTGAACTAGCAACTAAAGCAAATCTCTGCTCCCCGAAGAGGCTCTGGCTTAATCTACGGATCAATATAAATACATTAGAATAATATTCTGATACTTTGACCTTCATTGAAGAGGTCAGAAAGCCATCCAGGGGAAGAAGAAAGTCATCTATTTTACTGACTAAACGCAATAATTTTTGTGTAACAATTTTTCCTTTCTTTTTTACAGATTTTAACAACTTTTTTTCAAAATTAAAGTATACGCATTAATATGTGTCTGTGAGGTGAGGAGTTTATACCGAGAATGGAAAAAATTTTTTAAATTGAGGATGTGGATCCGTTATCTACTTATTGAAAACATTCGTGCATCTGGCTACATAATTCAAGAAGAAAGAGATACCAATAAGAGCAACAATCAATGAGAGCGCCATGATTTTCGCCTCAGAATAAATTTTTTTTTAAACAAGAACACATAAAATCGCATAAACACAAATGCAAAAATTTCTTTGCTTCTTTCTTAAAACTTATAATTAACGTATTTATTTTAAAGAGCTAAGGACAGAAATTTAAAACTGCAATCTAGATTTTATAACAATTTGTAATATTAGCACTGACTAGTTTTTGCAGAGACTAGATTTGCAGAATGGAATTCAATTTTTATTATAAGAATTTATATTACACATTAAAATAACAATTTTTTTTTAATATATATTAAAATACATTTCCTTTCTTTAAGAACTGTCAACAGGCAACTTGTACAAAAACAATTAGCACTGTGTGTAGAAAATTATACATGATTAATAGCATGTTATATTATATTGCGTTGGATATCACATGAGACCTTCATAAATATAATAGCATTTTTTAACTAACGATGACTATAATTATATATAATTATAATTAGTTATAATTGTATATAATTATAATTAGTTATTATAATTATATATAATTTGACTACATATAACATAATCAAAATTGCAATAATTATTGATCATTAACTGATAATTGATATTCCAAATCTCTGCAAAAATTATTTATAAATTTATATAAAAATATGAATGTTCCATAGAAACGCAAATAAATTTTACCATAATATTAGGTATAACGATTCATATGAATGGCATGTTTTTCAGTGTGATATGTCTTGGATATTTGGTTAAGCACAGGTGCAATTTCAGGGTCGTTTATCCATACATTTGCCGAGGCAGGTGTTTCTATCATTGACAAGTATGCTGAAAGAAATAAGAAAAAAATGTTAGAAAACAATTACAATTTATTACATTTGTTTATTGTTTCATTTTACCAAGCAACATCTTTGGTCTTGTAAGACTAAGCTGAATATGAGGATTACTCATAATTGCTTTATAAATTAGACCATCAAATTCGAGGCCTTCGTCCAAATCTTGTAAACTACGTCGTCTTTCGCCCAGCAACCATTCACACTGTCACAAGAAATATAAAAGAGAGATATAAGAAAATGTAATTTAAACATACGTCTTTAACACAACCATAACAACTTACAGCATTAGCCTGATCATTCCCAGTAACTTTCAATGCCCCTATAACATTTTTCTCTTCAAAGCCCATTTCTACAAGTGATCGCATTGCTCTCTTATTAGGTTTAAATTCCATTCTCTTCCATTGTCGAAAACTTTGCAATAATAATTCTATAATATATACTAGATCTTTTTCTTCTTGATCCTGTTTTTCTTTTAAAGTTAAGACAGTTTTAAATAATCTGATGCTATCCTTTTTTTTCATATGTTTCATTGCTTTCAATTTGGATTATAACTTCGAAATAATAACACAGTTTTAATTTTGTGTAAGAATTACCTTTGAACAGTTCCAAACAGGCTTCTTTAAATGACTTTTTCTTAGTGTTCATTGAAGAACCAGGATTTGCAATATCTGTATCTGTCATTGTATCCGCAGGTAAGAAATCTGTTTCATCATCTGAATCATCGTCTGAATCATCCTGATGTTCTATAAGCCATTCTAAAGCTTCCGTCATATTCGACCTAAAACAGAAACTTCCATGATATTATTTGTAAATGTGTTACATACGTATATAATAAATATATGATAAAAACATTGATACTTGCTTTCGAAGACATAATGCTTTGAGAACTTTCTTGTGAGGATAACCCATTTCTATGAGACTTTTTACGACTTTCGGATCATTAATAGGATTACACCTAGCTTCAAGTTTCTCCTTAATATCGTCATATAATTTTTCAGCATGAGAACTGTACATCAAGATCTTTGCAGATGCTTGTACAAGGGTTATTAAAATCTTACGGATTTCATTCTGGAACTGCAAGAAACAGTAAAGATATGAAACAGGATAATAAATAAAAATATAAGCATGTAAAAATATATATTTACATCCGCAGGGCATTCTGTAGATGGCAGAGGCTTAGGTGGATTTTGTACACTGGGTAGATCACTTGTAGCTTGAGCTATTGCTTCTAAATTTGGACCTTTAAGAGCTTCATCGGACAAATCTTCTTGTACAGGTGATCGTATTTCTACTAATAATAACTCATCTGTAACAACAAATTGTTGTGTTAAAAAACATAAATATATAATAAGCATGTAATACAAATTAAAAATTAATTAAAAAATATTTATATCATAAATCTATAAATAGCTTAATATAAATAATTATACCACATTCATTGATATCCTCATCGCTTACATAATTTTCATCCTTAAGCTGTACAAATTTGATTGAATGAACTAAGCGATAGTTTGAGATAGATTTGGTTGTGTCTTGACCATAAAAATGTACCACTGCTATTTTCTTAATATTTTCCACAGTAAAGTTTGGCTTTATTGCAACATCTAATACATTGCCCTCTATGCTGTATAAAAAGATTTGATGTTAATTAAACACCTGACAAAATTTTTTGAAATTTATATAGTATCAAACAATTTCAAACCTGATAACCTTGATGGAAAAGTTTTCAGGCGAGGTAGGTAACGGTGTAAGCATAGTGTTATTGCTTGTAGCATTGCCTGTGCTGACAGAAGAAAGGGCCAAGGACCGCTTGTCAGCCGTCCTTGAACTTTTTCTGTTATGCCAGGCTTCTGCTATTTGATCACGCACCCATGGGATCATTAAATTTATCTGAAATATATGAGAACAATTATTGCCACAACTGTTATATCCGTAACAGACTACGGATTGACGATTACGATTGACAGTTGCTCTGTTCTACTTCAATCAATTACAATATAGCAAGTCCATTGTAATTGGCTGAAATAGAACCGAGCAATCATCAATCATAATCGTTAACCCGTAGTTTGATATTCCCCTTATACATTAAAATTATATTATTAAAATGTAGATATTAATTAAATATATATATTTCTTTATAAAACATAAATATATAATAATTATCAGTATAAGTATGTATATAATATACTCGAATTTAACACCTTTTATCTCTATACAAATACTCAATATCTAATTTTCATAGAAAATTGATTTAATCAGATATATTTTCTTACTTTTATGAAGCCTTTCACATAAATAATTTAGACCTCAATTTAGTTTTGCATAAAGACTCTCGATGGATCGGTTGCAAAGATTATACCGAAAAATACCAATCATTTTTTCGGCTAAAGCTGTCAAGCACGTTAAAGAATCGATAAATCAGCTAACATCTTCGAGTACGGTGCGTCAAAACATATTATTTTTACAAAACTTGGCCTCTTTTACTCTGTGAGAATCGTGACTGCCATAACAGCTGATAGCCGCAATTCGCATCACACACTTTCTGTCTGCTAAAGTCTTAAAAATTCCAACTCCGATCGCAAATTGGATAATTCGCAGCAATCGCTCGCACTTGCGGCTGTCAGCGGCTGTGGCAGCTCTAATTTTTTTTAGCTGGATATTTAGTGGCGCCTCTATGTGTACAAAGCATGCACGTTAAACTATGTAGCCACAAATATTTCCGGTAGGTAACTTCTATGAATTGAGGGAGCATTATTTGGTCTTTTCCGTTGTTTTTTTTTAATTTTACGTTAAGACGCTATCAACTTTACGCTTTTTTAATATTTTGTTTTTTTAAGCTTAAAATATTCTGTCATAGAACACATATAGAACCTAACAAAACAATCGCGAAAGAAAAACAAAATGTAAAAAAAAGCATAAAGTTAATAGTGTTTTTATGCAAAATATTAAAAAAAACAACTGAAGAGATCAAATAATTGTTCCCTCATTTTATCGTTTTCTAGAACACTGTCAGTTTAATTTGTAAGTTGGTAATTATTATATAATATGAATTGCAGTCTAGATTTTCGGGGAGAGAAAGAGAAAGACGAATAATGTGGGAAAGCATCGGACACAAAAAAAGACTCCATTTTCCTTCTTTCCATCGTGAATTTCCACGGATTTCCATGGTGCGAAAAGCACTTTGCAAATAAAGTCACTAGATTTCTAAAGTAGCGCAATTGATTTCAGAAATGTTGCGTCAAAATGGCACATAATACACGATTCCAAGTATGGTGGTTGGGTGGTTTATCTTTTAAACTGTGCTTATACGTCCCTTCGTGCACTTTAATGCACTAAACTTCTACAACACAAATAAACCCGTATTAAACTAAAGAACACATAAATTAAGCATTCGTACATATTCTTTTGTTCATAAATAAACTAATTACAATAAAAAAAAACATTGATTTACATACTTGACGGCTTTATTTTCCCAAATAAAGCACGTAATACGAATGCATAAATTCGAAATGGCCGCGTTTTGCGTCAAAATGAAATGCGAGTTTGCGGTACTTTAAAGATCTAGTGACTTTCTTTGCAAACGGACTCCAAACAGGAGCCAAAGACGTAGGAGGAGGAAAACCGGCGCGTCGCCATGGCAACGGAACACACGGAACGTGCGGACTGATGTTTCGCGTTCCGCTGTTCCAACCAGCAGCTGCGACTGTCAGCTGTTCAATATGGAACGATAGCGAAGTACAGTCACTTGTAGGAGTCGGCCGTCGTCGGACGCAACTAGAAGAGTCATCCGGAACCGGAGGCAAGCCTATAGGAGCGATCAACGGAGTGAGCGAGCGTGTCTCTTTCGTATCAGCGCGCGCAGAAGCGAGCGGGACCGGACGTCGTAAGCGGGGGTGTGAAA